GATTCCCTTTTGGCACCTGGATTATTTTTCCTTTTAACCCAAGAACTGATTCCCTTTTGAACCTGGATTATTTCCCCTTTTAACCCAAGAACTGATTCCCTTTTGAACCTGGATTATTTTCATTTTTAACCCAAGAACTGATCCCAGAGAGCCCCCAGTGCAGATTTTTCTGCCCAATTACAAAATCCCACCCAAACCCATGAAGAAGCAGCCCAGGATGCCACCCTGTGCCCTCCATCTTGCCCACTAAAAACCCCCAAACCTCAATTTCTCACCTGCACCGCTCTCTAGAATTTATTTCACACTTTTGTGGATTCTGGTCTATCTTGAAGTGTAGGAAACTCTCCATGAGTGAGGGTCAAAGTCAGGGCAGCCCAGAGCAGACAGAGGAATATTCCCAGTGGTTCCCTGGCTTCCACACTCAGCTGGGATCAGACTTTGGAGCAGCACAGGGCCCCTCTGGGGCTGTCTGGGTGCACAGAGGTGACCACGGGAATGCCCAGGATGGGTTGGGCTGGGAGGGGTTTTGAAAGCCCCAGGAGGGAATTGAAATTTTGTCCAACCCCTCTGGTGTGGGCAGGTGTTGGGATTTGTTGGGAATGTCCCAAGAAAGGCAGGGATGATGAATTTGACCCCATGTTCAGCAGGGTAATTCATTATTTTATAATATTATATTAAAAAATACTATAAAATACTATACTATACTATACTATACTATACTATACTATACTATACTATACTAACATATATTGTATTTGTTAGGAATGTCCCAAGAAAGGCATTATTCATGAATAATGATGAATTTGAGTCATTCATGAATGAATGATGAATTTGAGTCCATGTCCAGCAGGCTAATTCATTATTTTATAATATTATATTAAAAATACTATACTATAGTAACATATATTGTATTTGTTAGGAATGTTCCAAGAAAGGCAGGAATGATGAATTTGAGTCCATGTCCAGCAGGCTAATTCATTTTTTTATAATATTATATTAAAGAATACTATACTAACATATATATATAAATTGTATGTATATGGTATTATATACTATATATATAATATTATTACATATTATAAATTACATATTATAGATTGCATATTATATATTATATATTATATACTTTATATATTATATATTATATATTATATATTATAAACTTTATATTTTATATATTATATATTATAAACTTTATATTTTATATATTATTGCAATATTATATATATTATAGTATTTTTATATCTATAAAAAATACAGAAAGGATACTTACAGGAGGCTAGAAAGATAATAATGAAAACTCCTGACTCTTTCCACACTGGCCCTGGTTGGCCAAAGAGTCAAAACAATTCACACCAGAATCCACTGAAACAATCCCCTGTGGGTAAACAACCTCCAAACTCATTCCACATGAGCACAACACAGGGGAAGCAAATGAGATCAGAATTGTTTTCCTTTTCTCTGAGGCTCCTCAGAGAACAATCCTGGCTGAAGGGGTTTGATTTTCCAGAGGATGTGAATGGCACAGGCAGGGGCAGCTCCCAGCTGCCCAGGGGGTGCCAGCCCTGCCCAGCCTGGCACGGGCACTGCCAGGGCCCCCCTCAGGCCAGAGCTCCTGCCCAAACTCCCCCTCTGCTCCTGCAGCTCCTGCAGCTCCTGCAGCTCCTGCAGCTCCTGCAGCTCCTGCAGCTCCAGTGCCCTGTGCTGGTGCCTGCTGGGGCCTCACCTGAGAGGGCAGGACCCCCTCACCTGCCCGGCCTGGGCTGGCCCTTGGGGCTGTCCCTTGTCACCTGTGTGTGACCCTTGGCACTGGCCCTTGTCACCTGTGTGGGGTGTCCCCTCAGCTCTGTCACCTCTGTGTGACCCTTGGGAATGTCCTTTGTCACGTGTGTGTGACCCTTGGGACTGTCCCTTGTCACCTGTGTGTGATCCTAGGGGCTGTCCCTTGTCACCTGTGTGTGACCCTTGGGGCTGTCCCCCCAGTTCTGTCACCTCTGTGTGACACTTGGGACTGTCCCTTGTCACCTGTGTGTGACCCTTGGGGCTGTCCTTTGTCACCTGTGTGTGACCCTTGGGAATGTCCCTTGTCACCTGTGTGTGATCCTAGGGGCTGTCCCTTGTCACCTCTGTGTGACGCTTGGGACTGTCCCTTGTCACCTGTGTGTGACCCTTGGGACTGTCCCTTCTCACCTGTGTGTGACCCTTGGGAATGTCCCTTGTCACCTGTGTGTGACCCTTGGGGCTGTCCCCTCAGCTCTGTCACCTGTGTGTGACCCTTGGGAATGTCCTTTGTCACCTCTGTGTGACGCTTGGGGCTGTCCTTTCTCATCTGTGTGTGACCCTTGGGACTGTCCTTTGTCACCTCTGTGTGACCCTTGGGAATATCCCTTGGCACCTCTGTGTGACCCTTGGGGCTGTCCCTTGTCACCTGTGTGTGACCCTTGGGACTGTCCTCTCATCTCCATGTCACCTGTGTCTGACCCTTGGGATTGTCCCCTCAGCTCTGGTGTCACCTGTGTGTGACCCCTGGGACTGTCCCCTCAGCTCTGTCACCTCTGTGTGACTTTCAGGACTGTCCCCTCAGCTCTGGTGTCACCTGTGTGTGACCCCTGGCACTGTCCCCTCCTCCTCCTCCTCCCCACCCTGCCCTGGGCACGGAGCCTTTGCCCTCAGCTCCTGGGGTGGCACCTCAGGGCTGCTCCCTCTAATGTAGACCCCTCCCTTTTGATTTTGGATTCTTATGGAATTCAGGGGTTTCCCCCCATTTCTGAGGTGCCTGAGAGGTTCAGACTCCCCAGAACCCCTGATACCAGAGATTCCCCTCTAATGTACAACCCTGCCCTTTAAATTTTAATTCTTTCAGTATTTAGGGTTCCCCCATTGTTTCTTTCATCTTTCAATGTCCAATTTCATTTACCAGCAAACCTAAAGTTTATTTGTAAAATCAAATCTCATTTCCCATTCATCAATCAGTGGAATCCTCCCCATTGTTTCTTTTATCTCCCAGTGCTGGTTTTATCTCCCAGCAGACCCAGAGCTGGTTTGGAAACACAAATCCCTCATTGCTGTCAGTGCCCTCCCCTGCCTGTCCCCTCCTGTCCCTGCTGTCCCTCCTGTCCCTCACTGTCCCCTCCTGTCCCTGCTGTCCCTCACTGTCCCCTGCTGTCCCTCCTGTCCCTGCTGTCCCTTCCTGTCCCCTCCTGTCCCTGCTGTCCCCTCCTGTCCCTGCTGTCCCTGACTGTCCCCTCCTGTCCCTCACTGTCCCCTCCTGTCCCCTCCTGTCCCCGCTATCCCCTCCTCTCCCTAACTGTCCTTCCTGTCCCTGCTGTCCCTCACTGTCCCACCTGTCCCCTGCTGTCCCTCCTGTCCTCTCCTGTCCCTCACTGTCCCCTCCTGTCCCCTCCTGTCCCCTCCTGTCCCCTCCTGTCCCTGCTGTCCCTGCTGTCCCTGCTGTCCCCTGCTGTCCCTGCTGTCCCCTCCTGTCCCTGACTGTCCCCTCCTGTCCCTCCTGTCCCTCCTGTCCCCTCCTGTCCCCGCTGTCCCTGACTGTCCCCTCCTGTCCCCGCAGAGCTGGCTGTGCCTGGTGGCCCTGGGCGCCTCCTTCCTGGCCTGTGGCAGCACGGTAAGCGTCACCCGGACCCTGCACCTGGAGCAGTCGCCCTCCCACCCCCCCAAGTAGCCAAAGGGGGGGGGCCTGGACCCCCAGAGCCACCCTGGGGACACGGACGGAGCCGCTTGGGGACATTCGGGGCATCGGGGACACGGCCAGGAGGACACGGAGCACACGGAGCCCTCGGGGCAGTGCTGGCCCTGCTGGGGCCCCAAACCCGCCTGGGGGGACACACCTGGGGTGGGGGGGACACAGGAGCAACCTGAGTCACACCTGGGGGCCACACCTGGCAGGGGACACAGGAGCAGCCTGAGCCACACCTGGGAGGGGGACAGGAGCACTGTGACCCCCCTGGATTGGAGCCACACCTGGCAGGGGACACAGGAACAGCCTGGGTCACACCTGGGGTGGGGACACACCTGGGGTGGGGGACACAGGAGCAACCTGACCCCCCCTGGGTGACACAGGAGCAGCCTGGGTCACACCTGGGTGGGAGCCACACCTGGAGGTGACACAGGAGCAGCCTGAGCCCCCCTGGAGGTGACACAGGAGCAGCCTGGGTCACACCTGGGGTGACACAGGAGCAGCCTGAGCCCCCATTCCCATTGAAACCCCAAATTCCTCATCCCAGAGCCTTTGCCCCCCCTGTAGCACAAACCCTGAACTCCAGGGGCGCTGCTCTGGCACTGGCCTGGACTAAATAAGCTCAAAAATCCCTGAATCCCCTTTGGGGTGGCTTTGGGGACGCTGCTGGCACCGGGCATGGGGTGGCACCAGGGCTGGGGCTGCCCCAGGCCGGGCAGATCTGGTGCTTTCCACTGGAAACGCTTCCCACTGCCATGAGCATGGGAAAACTCAGCATTAATTATTTTATTAATTAATTCTGGTATCACCTCTGGCTTTTGAAACGCTTCCCATTGCCATGAGGATGGGAAAAACTGAAAGCGAATTAATTAATTTAATAATTAATTAATTAATTAATTAATTCTGGTATCACTACTGGCTTTTGAAACACTTCCCATTGCCATGAGCATGGGAAAAACTAAAAACGAATTAATTAATTAAATAATTAATTATTAATTAATTCTGGTATCACTCCTGACTTTTGAAACACTTCCTATTCCCACGAGCATGGGAAAAACTGAAAACGAATTAATTAATTAAATAATCAATTCTTTAATTAATTAGTTCTGGTATCACTACTGGCATTTAAAACCCTTCCCATTGCCATGAGGATGGGGAAGCTGAGCATTAATTATTTTATTAATTAATTCTATTATCACTACTGGCTTTTAAAACACTTCCCATTGCCATGAGCATGGGAAAAACTAAAAACGAATTAATTAATTAAATAATTAATTATTTTATTAATTAATTCTATTATCACTACTGGCTTTTAAAACACTTCCCATTGCCATGAGCATGGGAAAAACTAAAAACGAATTAATTAATTAAATAATTAATTATTTTATTAATTAATTCTGGTATCACTCCTGACTTTTGAAACACTTCCCATTCCCACGAGCATGGGAAAAACAAAAAACTAATTAATTAATTAATTAATTCTGGTATCACTACTGGCTTTTGAAACACTTCCCATTCCCATGAGCATGGGAAAACTGAAAACAAATTATTTATTTAATTATTTAATTAAATAATTCTGTTATCACCTCTGGCTTTTAAAACCCTTCCCATTGTCATGAGGATGGGGAAGCTGAGCATTAATTATTTTATTAATTAATTCTATTATCACTACTGACTTTTGAAACCCCTCCCACTGCCGTGAGCATGGCAAAACTGAGCATTAATTATTTAATGAATTAATTCTGGTATTATCACTACTGACTTTTTGTGGCCCCAGATGTGGGATTTTGGGGTCAGCAAATGGTTATTTATGATTTTATGACTTGATTCTCTGTGATCCATGGAAATGCTCTTGGAGCTCTCCAAAATAACTCCAGGTCAGGCTGTGGAGGCTCCAAGGGCTTTTTCCAGGGCTTTCTTTGCTGCTCCCTCTTGTCCTGGACTGGATCCCCTCCTCTCATCCCCTTTTTATGGGTTTGGGAAGGAGCTTGGCCAGGAGTGTGCCCTGACTGGGGTGGGATGGGGGGACCAGGGCACCCCTTGGATCTCCCAGGGGTGTTTTGGGGTTCCATCCTCCCTCTTGGGCTGGATTTGGATCTCTGAATCATGGAAATGGGGTGGGGAAAGCTCAGATTTGGGTTCTTTAGGGGGAAATTCCTTTTTCAGTGCAGCTGGGGCTGCAGCAGAGGCAGAGCTCAGATCCCAAAGTGCTTCATGGGATGGGGCCCCAAAGCTCTCCTGGGGCCAAGCCAGGGGGCTCCAGCCTGGTTCCAATCCCAAATAAACCCAGAGGGTTCCAATCCCAAATAAACCCAGAGGGTTCCAATCCCAATAAACCCCGAGGGTTCCAATCCCAAATAAACCCAGGGGGTTCCAATCCCAAATAAACCCAGGGGGTTCCAATCCCACATAAACCCCAAGGGTTCCAATCCCAAATAAACCCAGAGGGTTCCAATCCCAAATAAACCCTGAGGGTTCCAATCCCAAATAAACCCAGGGGGTTCCAATCTCAAATAAATCCTGAGGGTTCCAATCCAAATAAACCCAGAGGGTTCCAATCCCAAATAAACCCAGGGGGTTCCAATCCCAAATAAACCCAGAGGGTTCCAATCCCAAATAAACCCAGGGGGTTCCAATCCCAAATAAACCCAGAGGGTTCCAATCTCAAATAAAACCAGCCCTGGTTTATTTGGCATTCCTGGCTCCCTTTCTGGTTTATTTGGGATTTCTGAGTCCATCCCTGGGATTTGGGATTCCCGAGTCCATCCCTGGTTTATTTGGGATTCCTGGCTCCATCCCTGGTTTATTCGGAATTCCTGGCTCCATTTCTGGTTTATTTGGAATTCCTGGCTTTATTTCTGGTTTATTTGGGACTCCTGGCTCCATCCCTGGTTTATTTGGGATTTCTGAGTCCATTTCTGGTTTATTTGGGATTCCTGAGTCCATTTCTGGTTTATTTGGGATTCCTGGCTCCATCCCTGGTTTATCTGGGATAATAAAATGGATCCATCCCTCACTGCCCACTGGCATTTCCCTGCTCTCCCACTTGCAGGCAGGGAATTCTCTGTGAAATAAAAATCCCTGCAGTGTCCAGCTCTGGGGAAGGTTTGGGATCTGGTTTAGGATCTGCTGGGGTTTCATCCATCCCCACCAGCTCTGGGGAAGGTTTGGGATCTGCTTTGGGATCTGCTGGGGTTTTATCCATCCCCACCACTCTGGGGAAGGTTTGGGATCTGCTTTAGGATCTGCTTTGGGATCTGCTGGGGTTTCATCCATCCCCACCAGCTCTGGGTCATTCCCTGGTGCTCAGGGGTGAAGGTGCCCACGCTCAGAGCCCAGCAGGAAAACTCCCCCTGAATGTGGGGCAGGATCAGATCCTCCCTCCCACCCTTTCCCAAACCTGCAGCCCCCCCCGACACAACAATTCCCATTTTTCCCGTTGTTATCCCAGGATTTAACCCTTGAATGAACCTTTGTGGGTTTTACTCCCATCCCCACTCCACAGCAGCCACGAGCTCTGGGATTTGTGGCCTGGGGGCACGAGGGGCTGGACCAGAGGTGGATTTGGGCTTTGGAATTCTGCTGTACCCCCCTGGATTGGGAATTGTGGCTTGGGAGGGCTCGGCTGAGCACTGACTGTGAGTGCAGCCTCCCCTCTGCTCCCTGCTGCCCTCATTTGGGATTTTCCCCTTTGGTCCTGGTTGTACAAACCCCATTAAAACGTGGAGACTTTTCCAACTCGGCTTCCTGGGTCATTTTTTGGGGGCTGGTGCTGGGACAGAGCCCCTGTGGGGTTGTTCCCTTTTCCCCAACCTGGGAATGAAACTCGAGGTCGTTTTAGTTCTGACTTCAAATAAAAGTGGATTTTACTTCAAGGCCTTTGGGGGCAGTAATGGAAAGATGCCCACAAAACTCCACCCGCACAGGGGTGAGGACATTTTAATAGGGTTTAGGAAATGAAATAATTCACAAAAGCAGCAATTAGAGGAGAGGCAGTGATGGAATTCTCTCTCCTTTGGCTCTGCCCATGAAATCTCCAGGAGCTGCTCCTGGGCCCTGGAGCTCTGGGATTTTTGTGTTTCTGCCCAGGGAAAGGCCATGGAAAAACACTGGGAAAATGAGTTATTGATGCAACAGGGCCCATAACACAGAGCCACAAATGCACCTGCAAAAAATACAGGGAACACAGAAAAGAGGGAAAAAAAGGGAAAATTCAGAATGGATCAGGGTGAGCTGGGGCCCGTCCCTGACCCCTGGAATTGGCTCAGGGCTCCCTCACGCCCTTCCCATGGGAATTCCTTCTGTGGGATCCCGCCCTGCCCAGGCCAGACCCACCAAAAAACCCCAAATTCCCGATTTTTTCCTGCTTTTGCCCCTTTTTTCCTGCTTTTGCCCCCGCGGAGCCTCGCCTGTGGCTCAGTCCGGTTCAGCACCATCCCGAGGGCCTCCTTGTGCAGTTATTGCTAATTAAGGCTCAGCCACGCCCCGAAGTTAATTAAGCTCGCTCGGTTAATTGGGAATGCAGAGGGAGGGGCCGCTCGGAGCCCTGGGCGGGGCTGGACCGAGATCTGCCCCAATTAACAGCGGGATCCTCTCCCAATTAACGCCGTTCCTGCTAATTACTGACCCTGGGGCCGCCTCGGCTCCCGCCCGGGCCTGGTTAAGCTGGGCTTGGTTAAACTGGGCCCAACTGGGGCTTCCGTAAGCCGGGATCAGCTCTGGTTTCATTTAAAGCCTGCCCTGTTCAGGCTCATCAATTGGGCTCAACGTCGGCTTCATTAAACCAGGCTTAATTCAGGCTTTGTTAAACCGTCCTCAATTGGAGCTTCATTAAACCCACCTCAGCTTGGGCTTTGTTAAACCAGGCTCAGTTCGGGCCTCATTAAATCGTGGCTTTGTTAAACCAGGCTCAGTTCGGGGCTTCATTAAATCGTGGCTTTGTTAAACCAGGCTCAGTTCGGGCCTCATTAAATCGTGGCTTTGTTAAACCAGGCTCAGTTAGGGCCTCATTAAATCGTGGCTTTGTTAAACTGGACTCCATTCCGTCTTCCTTACCTGGGCTTCACTTGGGCTTTGTTAAACCGGGCTGACCTCAGGCTTCCTTCAACCACCTCGGGCTCCTTTCAGCTCTCTTTGGCTTCCTTAAGCCAGGCTCAGTTAAACCCCCCGGCATTAATTGTTGCCTTCCCCAATTAAACCCCCCAGCATTAATTAATTGTTGCCTTCCCCAATTAAACCCCGGCATTAATTGTTGCCCTCTCCCCCCAGGGCCGCCTGGGCTTCGCTGCCCGCCCCGAGCTCTTCCTCCTCGGCCACGTCGGTTCCGACCCATCCGTGCCCAGGTGACCCCGGAGCCCGCGGACCCCCAGGACCCCCAGGACCCCCCGGTGTGGGGGACGGACCCCCGGGACCCCCCCCGTGCCCCGGGACCCCGAGCCCCGGGCGAGTGGCGGGAGCGGAGCGGGGACAGCGGGACCAGGAGGAGCCGCCAGACCCTGGGGACAGCCGGGACAGCCCTGGGGACATCGGGACAGGCTTGGGGACAGCCGGGACAGCCCTGGGGACAGCCTTGGGGACAGCCGGGACAGCCTTGGGGACACCTGGGACACCCCTGGGGACACCCCTGGGGACACCTGGGACACCCCTGGGGACACCCAGACCAGCTCTGGGGACACCCGGGACGCCCCTGGGGACACCCGGGACACCCTTGGGGACACCCGGGACACCCTTGGGGACACTGGGCCAACCTTGGGGACACCTGGGACACCCCCACACCCCCCCCCAGCCAGGGACAGCTCAGGGTCCCTCAGTTTTCCCCATTTCCCCCATGGCAGCTCTGAGATGATCCCATTGGGATTTCCCAGATTTTCACTCAGGTCACCCCAGCAGGACTTTGCTCCTCGGGGTTTTTTCCCTAATTGGGGAATGTTCCAGTTGGGATTTCCCAATAAAATGAAAGCCAGGTTTAATTCCCAAGAAAAGCCAGGACTTTGCTCCTCGGGGTTTTTTCCCTAATTCGGGAATGTTCCATTCGGGATTTCCCAATAAAATGAAAGCCAGGTTTAATTCCCAAGTAAAGCCGGGTTTGCTGCCAGGCTCAGGCTTTGGGGACAGAGGCGTTCCCAGCATTTCCAGCAGTTCTGGGGTTTTCCAGAACCCCAAATCGCCTCTCAGGGGGGGCTCCAAGGGCAGCAGCTCCCGGAAAACCCAGTGGAATTCCTGCCAGGAATTTCCCTCTCTGCGGCTTTCAGATTTAGAAATAAAAAATTGAGAAATAAAAATGGTTTTATGTTGCCGTTACGGCGTGGCGACCTGGTTCTGGAGGTCTGGCACGGTGACCCAAGGCCCAGGGTCACTCGGTCCAATGCTACATACACCAATGTGGTGGACAGCAAATGGCGTTTATTGAGGGGTCTCAGGGGTATTTATGGACTAAGGGGTTTCTCTACGTCAGAAAGGGGTTTGGCTATACTTTCTAGGGTTAGTATGGAGTGGAAAGTTACTGGCATCTGTAGGTTAGGGGGGCTACATGTTTGGCTACATTCCAAGGGTGATCCTTATCTCTGGGGAGAGGGGCAGAAGGAGTCCTGTAATTTTCCGTCACAGCCCGAAATCTTCCGAACGCCTGTCCCTTACCTACCACACTTCCCCCCCCTCTTTCACAGATGAAGCACTCAAATGAGGTAGGAGGTTGAGATCTGACTAGGGAAAAGGGTCTTGGGAAACCTGAGTAAGGTTCTGCCAGGCAAGTCTCTCGTGACTGGCAGTGTTCCCTGTTGAATTCACAGTAATTGTTGCTGTCCCACGAACAGGATGTTAGCCCGTTCTAGGCGGGCCTGAACGAATGAGACTAGCTTGTTCAGCAGGCATGGCCCGAAGGTAATAGCTAAAAGCAGCATTGCCAATGGACCTATTAGGGTAGAAATTAGGGTGGTTAGCCATGGTGATCGATTGAACCAGGACTCGAACCAGCCCTGTTGAGCTTCTCTATCTGCTTTCCTTAGGTTTAGCCGATTTCTCAGTTCGGCCATGGAGTCTCTGACGACTCCGGTGTGGTCTGCATAAAAGCAGCATTCCTCTTTCAAGGCAGCACACAGGCCTCCTTGCTGCATGAATAAGAGGTCCAGTCCTCTCCTGTTTTGGAGGACAACCTCTGAGAGTGAGGAAAGGGATTTTTCCAGGGAAGAGATGGATTTCTCAATCCTTTGCAAGTCCTCATCAACTGTTATCTGCAGTTGTGCCAGTCCCTGATGTTGTGTTGCAAGGGCCGAGATGCCTGTGGCAGCGCCGGTAGCTCCTAAACCGAGGAGCATTGCGATGGTGACGCCTGTTATCACCTCTCGTTTGTAGAGCCGGCTGGGTTCCTCGAACAAGTGGTACACCTCTTCTTCTTGGCGATACAGGACTCTGGGGACAATTAGAACTTGGACACAAAAGTCAGTAGAACACACTTAAGAATGGACTGGAGAGGGTTGGTTTGGTTAAGAGATCAGATGGGGAGACTAGTTTCACCTCTGTGTTTCGTGGCTAGAACTACCGTTAGCTGCGATCTCTTCCCTGGGTCTACTCACTACTAGAACCGGGTTGGGTCCGACTGATTGGGATACTGAAGCTGGGAGTCTGATAATTTGTATGTTCGCCCAGATGCTGCGGTTAGGGAGATGAGCATATGCTGTCCACACTTTACCTGTGGCCCAGGCATCATGGGTTGGCTGCAGGATTGTCATTATATAACCTGTGCAAGTGTGCTGTTTCAAGCCTCCGGGCATAAGCGCATACCCATCTCCGTCATATTTTGGTTCGATACAGCCGTGTGGAGTGTACTTAATTTGCAGGAACTTATCCGGCTGTTGAGGCGTCCATCTATTGCTTATCACAATAGTTTCACACCCCCAATATCCACAATATCCATGCCCTGGGTAATTACAATAACTTTTTCCTGGGTTGGAAGCAGGGCACCAGTACATCCCAAATACTGTTGTCTCCTGAAATCTGGGGTGCCCTGTATGCATGGGAAAAATGTCTTTTAACCTGAACTCGAAAGATGGGATGTCGGCTGTAACAATTTCTTTGATGACCCCCTCACCTGAGAGATGGCGTAGAACCCACATGAATGACTGGTGAGGGTAATGTTTTGTGTCTGCTTGTTCTCCGCCTACTAACCCTAGAAACAAGATTACACAGAGATACCATTGCTGCTTTAACTTTGATGGCGCGAGCTTCTCAGGTGATGTCGGGTTGCTCGTTGGCCTCTCTCTCTTTCCCAGTAGTGGGGCATTTGAGTTTCGGGGACGTCCAATGATCCAGTCCTGCAAACAAAGTCTCACAATTCTCATGAGTTTCCCTTTGAAGGTCTGGTTTGATAGATTTGAGTGGACACCATTTAATGTCCCCGTCCTTTTTAACGGCCGCATATCCCCGCCCCGTGAGCACCAATCTCCAACCCTGTTCCCACTCCCCTAGTTCATTTTTGATCACCACCCGTGGGTCTTCCTCTAGCGCCCGAGTGGCCCAGTGTCTCTGAGCAGGACTGTTTGTTTCGTCCCCCCTAGGGAATTGATTTAACGCTAGCAGCGCAGTTGCCAGCATGCGCGCCTGGTCACCCGGGGCAATGGCATTGGTGAAGCCTTCTGCCTTTGCTAGCACTTCCAGCTTAGTTTTCAGAGTCTGGTTTGCTCTTTCGACGATGGCTTGCCCGGTGCTGTTGTATGGGATGCCATGCACCAAGGCGATGTTCC